ACGTAGTTACAAATCTACTGCGTATTTTAACGGTTTTTTAACACTGAAGAAGGGTCATATACCCAAAACGTCTGTGTTTTCATGAACATTTTTGACACTTTCCAATATTTATACATCCAGTATTGCTTCAATCGTTTTTAACCAAGTGTCACGCATCAGCAACGACTTTTTAGTCTACCAGTATACTGAAAATAGGTTGCATGTGTTAAGTGCACATTTTAATATACAGATCAGTCAGTTAACTTGACAGAAGAGCTGATGCACTGACAATCAAACCCTCCTCATCTGGCAAAACTTCAGCCTCCAAGCTTTCTTCACAGAGTGCAAGATCAGGTCTCACACTGGAGAAAAGAGTGGAAATTATCAAGTTTGCGGAGAAAAATCAAAATGTGGGATACAGGAAGAAAGAGGAAATTTAGCTGCTTACCATATTAATCTAAGTTAAGGCCAAAAACAGACAAGAGAACATTGTGGAAAGTTTGCAGATGTCAATCAGTCACCATGGGACTGGTACATGCTGTGCAGGTCTCTGGAACAATGAAGAAGAGGCTCTGATCATGGCTGATAGATTAGGAATTAAAGATTTCGCAGCTTCAAATGGCTGGCTAGAATCATTCAAGAAAAACTGTAATATAACCACTATGAGCATGGCTGGGGAAGCAGGAGACGTATATTCTGAAACTTTTGAGAGCTGGAAAGAAAGATCCAGAGAGCCATCACAAGGCTAGAAGCCAGAAAACATCTGGAATATGGACGAAACTGGCTGGTTTTGGAAAGCTCTTCCAGAAGTGGGCCTTAACAAAAAGGGAGGTTGTTGCACTGGTGGGAAAAAATCAAAGCAGCCGAACACATGGGCGTTTTTCCTCAATGCTGCTGGTGGAAAAGTGCACCCCATCGTAATCAGGAAATCTGAAAAGTCAAGATGTTTTAAGAACCTTAAAGACATAAGCCGTCCCTACAAATGCCATTATTTCTTAGTTCAGCTCTTGGCTTGATCTCAAAGATCGTTAAAGGAAGCTGATGTGGCCTACACTCGAAACACATAGACTGTTTCTTTCTTTAGTTGAGTGCTATAAAATTGTTTTTGTTATAAATAAACTAAACTTTGACAATTTCTTTGAATTCACCAAGTGCAATTTAACCCACACTAACCACCTGTATAAGCTCTATGCTAAGCCAATAAAGTGTAATCCATATGAATATTCTTTTCCTATCCAAATTGTATGGGACTGGAATAGCCTACCAGGGTCTATTGTTGGGGCTGGGAGCCTGATCGGTTTTAAGAGTACGCTTAAGTGCGGACCATGCAATCACAAGCCAAAGATGGCTTTTCTTGAGCACATGAAAGAATGTGAAGAAATTAAAAGTGCTCACACTTGTGGGCTCCTTACTGTAACATTAGAAATGTAATTTCTCAGACAATGGCAAGAAGGAATGTGAATTTTTTTATTTTTCCTGAAAAGAAAGAGGTAGCAGTGTTCATTTGCCTTGAACTGCAGCTGCCTCAAGTGAACCAGTATGGCTCAATTGTTACCAATTACAATAATTATTTTATTACTAATCGTATCTATAACAAAATTCTTGATCATGATTGGTTCTCAGCACGCCTATTTGTCACATAATCGGCGCGTGATCCGTGGGTGTCCAATTTCAGTGTCCGATTTGAACTTTTTGTAATTGGATACCCACATGATTCACACATCAATTACGCGTGCTTTAATGGCTTTTTTCGCAATGTTTCGTTCAGTTTTCAAAACTTAGGAAAAGCGCTACAGACATTTTCGCTCGAAAGAAGTTCTCATGAGGCATTTTAATTCCGAAATTTTTTATAGATACAATTAATTAGTAATTGGACCTCTTGTCGTACAATTCAGGGAGTAATTGTGCTCATACTTTCAAATTGGCCTTGTGCTTCTCGCTCGTCCGATTTTGAAATTACTCACGCGATTACTCCCTGAATTGTACTGCACTTGGTCCAATTACTATTACTAATCATTGGAATGTGTATTTAGATCTAGGGTAGGTCAAGTCTACATGAGGACTACTGGTCTATCAGGCTGGTACTGAATCTGTAGTATGAAGTGGCCTGTCTCTGTATTTCTAATCCCCCCTCCCCCACCCTGGAAGGGATTCTAGTACATTGCAGGGTTACCCCCCTACATTAAATTAGCTGACCAGTAACCTATACACCTGGGTGGAAAGAGACACTGTAAGAGTACAGTGTCTTGCCTGAGAACAAGACATAATGACCCTGGCCAGGACTTGGACCACAGAATCTGGAGTCCAGAGCACTAATCATTAGGCTACTGCACCTCCCACTTAGATCTGCCAGGAATTTACTGTTGTTAAAAGTTGCAATCTTATTGTAAGTAGAAAGTAGTTGTAACCTCCTTTTCACTCCAGATGATTTAGGAAATTTTTGAATTCCAGCTTACAAAACCAAACCCTTATGGATTTTGACAGTAAGATCTTTTGTATTACTGTCAGGTTCATCCTTGTGGAAGATACAGGCATAATACTATTGTGTTCCTTCTTGGAAAAGAACATGGATTAACAAATCTCTTTAGTGAGTATTTCACTTGTAGTGTAACTTTATTAAGTTTGTGCACAGAAAAGTGGCTTTTGGTATTTATGGATTATTAAATCAATTCATAAAACAATCTCAAAAACATCAATCTCAGATGTTAATGAGTTGAGTTTAAGTGTAGGCCTTCAAATGAATTTTAGTACTAAATTGGTTTCTCAAGGTTTCTAGTGACAATTTAAGATGAAATCCGACAGAAAATCAAGCAATTTCAGGTTTTAGTGGACAAAAATCTGGTACCAGAATAATTTTAAGTATTTTACAGGCATTTTTACATTTTCTTAAAGCTAAATACATAAATAATTGCCTCAAATAACACCAAAAACAATTTCCCATGGGAACAAGAGAAAATAAATTTCAAAGTTCAGAGAACTTGTGCAAACACAGGCAAAATTTCATCATCAGTTTCATTTCACCAGTACTTTCAAGTGTTTCATATGAAGTTCAACATTCGTTTTCCACGTTTGGTGTCGCTAGAAATGATTTTTTTTGAGAAGATATTTAAAACAGTCACACCGAAGTTTGCAATACGATGTAAATAATCTTGGTACTAGGTTTTTGTCCACTTGTTGCTCGAACTTCTGGTGGATTCCATCTTACTGCAATAGAGACAAACATTGCTAAGAACTACAATGGGGACATGAACGCTTGCTTGTATTAACTGATGAGGGCAGTCGTTCGAATCATAATTCCTGTCCCTGTTAAATGATGTTGTGACAAGTATAATTTAACTCTTACTACCCCAATGGCTCCTGTTCACAGTGAAGTAAACACAACTGACAAAATTTATAGTTGTAATTGAATACAATATCATTTAGTTTCTACTTGCTTTTCATTACAAACCTGATGAGGCATGAATTTCTAATCGAGGGAATAAAGAGTGTGTACAATGTACTCCAAAAGGTATTTATTGGCCACTTTCACCAGACGGTCTCATGAAAAACAATTAACTGTGTTTTTGCTCAGACTGAAACATTTGTCTATACTAATGGGGTGCTTGTAAACTTAAGCAAATTAAGCTTGCACTGTATAATTAAGTTACCAAGTAGAGAAAACGTTACATTGCAACTAGCCAACCAATCAAAACCTTAATAGAGAACAATGGATGGCAAACCTTTTTTGTAAACAGGCCAATGACATTGAAACATCCAACAATAGTTCTACAACAAAATCTAAAACAAGTTGTCTACTATAAGTTATACACTTTACCATACTTTGATGAGAATTATCATAATAAAAAATAATATTAATTTTTCTCCAAAAAAACTACACTGGAATCATTGAAAACTGCTCAAAATTGTAAAATTATTTTGAAACAAAGTTTACTACAGGTCTGCTACATTATGTAATTTTTGGGGGTTTAAAAATTGTACTACTATTGTATATATTCCTCAATGTTATTGATTCATGTACTTTGTCACTAGCATACAACAGTGTGACGGCTTCTGTGAAAACAAATAGCTTTGTCACAAAAAAATTTCTCTTAGCTGTTTGTAAAATCTTTCTTCAACAATTAGACAGGTAATCACTTGAATGAAAGTAGGAGTGAGTGGTGCAGATGCATTCGGAATTTTCTTAGTCATATAATAAACGAGTAATAATATGAAAGCTCCATTGATAATTAAGGATTTACATAGCCTGTGTTGCAGTTCCCCCCCCCCCCCCCCCCCCCCCCCGACCCCCCAAACAAACCGCAGGTGTTTGATAAAAGAAATGTTCAGCAAAACAAGATTAGGTTAGGAACCAACCTGTCGTCAAGAACAGATATTATCTCTCCACACTTAAATGTAAGTTCATTGTCTTCAACTGCCTCAAAATCGTACAATGCTCGGACTTTTTTGGCCTCAACCTAACATAATACAAAAAAACATTCAGTTGAAAGCTATATTGTCTCTCTTTAAGGTCGTAGCTTGCTTTTTTGCTTGTACTGATAAACGTTTTTGAATTTCAGTTTCATAAATTTCTGTTGGATTCAAAAAGAACTTATTAATCAAAATCACTCAAGCATCAGGTTGTAGTTGCCATGGCAATGGCAGGTGTTACAAGGACAATGTCCTCCAACCCACCACATGCCATTGAAATTTATTAAAATATGATTGATCAAACCAAACAGAATGGAATCCTGTTACATAGATGTCATAGAGGTGATAAGTAATTATTTTAATTTTGACTTGTGGAAAGCGGTTCAAATAATTGGATATGCTGTGGTTCAAACAGGACACCTACCCTTCTTGCAGGAGCTGGTGAAGATGAACTGAAGCTTGGATGCAAACTAGAGACCTTGGGCTACAAATATTGAATGAAACAATCAAACTTCTAGAGTCATGAAAAACAACTGAAGGGACATCAAAAGAATGATCAACAGCTTAGTCACCAAACAAAATCAATTGATCTGCACCCTGTTTACACAAACAAGAACATGCCTACTCTGTTACAGCTATGTTTTTCAATGTTGTTCCAGAGAAGACTTACATATTAAGTATTTATATGCTGAGCAAAATCAAAGACAGCTGTAAAACTGCACGACGATGATATTTCAAGGCATTTCAAATTTTTGGTTTATCACTAGAAAGGTCAATATCATGAAATTTTGACCAAAAGCTCCCAATTGTGTACAAAGCATGTCACATACCACTGACTTTCAAGAAAGCAAAGAGAAAACTCATTGAAAAAGCAGTGATTTGAACAACATAGTAAAAACGATGACTACTTAAGCATAGTATAAATCAGTATGCTCTACCTTACTACTTTCTGCTTCCTGAAGGGACAACTGAATTGCTGAAGGTGAAAAAGAAAAAAAATGACAAATATCTGTATTAGAAATGCAAAGCAAGAGAATCTTAGGTCAAAACACCGTTGGCAAATCATCAACATACAGACACCTTACAAACCCCACATACATCTCCCACTAGAACAATGCTGAGATACATGTATGGTCGCATGGTTCAATGGAGAGAATTCCAATTCAGAATTGCACTTGATGTGAGGAAGGGAAGTAATGTATCAAACACGAGAGACAGTGTTTCAAAAGGATATCCAAACACCGGGAAGAAAGTTGAAAATACGACGGGCAGCAGAGTATTTGTATGCTAATTAAGACCAGGTATACAAACCTCCTTCACAGTTGTGATTTGCTTTGTTTTAACTTGATGAATTATGAGTTTGAGAACGGTAGCTGAAGGCAAGAATTGTTTGCTAAAAAAATGGTGCCAAGATTTTTGCCAAAACATTTTGTTGTCGCAATCATGCCTGCAACAAACTGTACCATGCTATGGTTGCATATTGGTGAGGGAAGGTTGATGCCCTCATCTCTGACTATTTGTGATGTGACTGCACAAGGTCACGTGAAAACTCGACAAAATGTAAAGTATTCACTCGCTGAATGAAGGGTGTAATGTTGGAAACAGTTAAAAGCATTGAAGTTGCTTCAAAATCGAATTTTTTCATAGAGATCCTTTCTCAAGTTTTTGTCGGAATGAGTAGACCTGTGTAGTGTGTGATGTTCAAGTACCTCTGGCTAAATCTTCATCTTCTTGATGTGCACTAACTGTTGCAGGAGCTGAAGAATGACTTGATGAACTTGGTGAACTTGAACTTGTGTCCTATAAACAGTATGATTACAAACAATGCAATACTA